GTGTTAGCCAACTGGAGCACTGTTTAATATCAAAGGGACTGGTTCACTAAATCACTGAATCTCATTAGATTTACAACTTTGGCGAAGAGAGTCCACAGTTACTTTACTATCACCACCTGGCAGATGAAGCCAGGGGAATTAGGGTTCACTGGGACACTAAACAGAGATTAGATCTGAAGCCAGGAAGAGGAGAAAACTTCAAAGGTAGAACCATTATGCACACACACAGGCAGAGCAGTTTTAATTGGAACCGGAAAGCAATGCCTAATACGGAGCAGTTAGTTGGAAACAAAGGAAGAAGTGAGTGTTTATGCAGAAATTAAGGCAGTATAAGTATTCCTCCCCTTCCCAGGGCGCTGTCCTCTACGATTGGAGCAGAAAGGACGTGGGACGTAGGACGATGGACGGACCAAAGGGCCAATAACGGGAGAGTTAAGTCTAAACCACGGCTCCTCCCCAACAGTTTTTGACCAATCAGATAGTAGTACCTTTTCATACAAATATTGTATACCGATAAGTTGAGGGAGTCTTTTCTGTTTTCCCAAAACAGTGAAGATCCATGTGCACATGCTAATTTTGATACGTTAATGCATAATAAATTTTACTAGTTTACTAGTCCTCACTTCTCAATTAAAAGAACACGCCTCACACACCCCACCCTCTGTGACTGGCTCTTGGACTTTCTGACTGGTATGCCCCAGACTGTCAGGATTAGCAATAGGACTTCAGTCAGCATTATCACGAGCATCGACACCCCACAGGGATTATCCTCAGTCCCATCCTCTACACCCTGTTCACCCACGACTGTGTCACCTCCTACAAAGACAACATCATCCTAAAGTTCGCGGATGACACCGCAGTGATAGGTCGCATCACTGGCGGGGACAAAGCAGCCTACAGGAGGGAGGTGGCGGTGTCATGGTGCAAGGACAATAATCTCAGCCTCAGTACAGACAAGACGAAGGAGATGATAGTGGACAAGAGGAAGGAGAGGAGATCTCATCAGCCACTGTTCATCTGAGGGCTCGAAGTGGAGAGGGTAGGCAGCTTCAAATATCTGGGTGTCCACAAATGGATAAATAGAGCTCAGGCGTGTTTAGTCCGCAGAGTTCAGAAAGTGCTTTGTGCAGGTGCCTGTGCTCCCCCCTCTCTCTACACTGTTTCACTGCTGCCATGCAAGCAAGGTCAGTTTCCATTATGCACAGTAGCATAATCCCATTTTATGTGATTCCCTTTTAAAAAGCCTCCTTCTGGCGTTTCCCTGGAGTTGACAAACCTGCTTTCCAGCGTCAACTGGCTGTTACCCGCTGGCAGCTTTATACCTCACGTTTGGCGCCAAATTTCTTGCCTGCTTTCCCCCAAAAATAACTCGGTAACAGCCATCCCACATTTGCCTTGAATGCTGCTGCCTTCTTTGAGCCAGCAGCAGAAGCCATGTTCTACCCACTAAAAAAAAAAAAAAAAATTTTGCATTAAACCAATACACTGCAGCACCTGCAGGCCAGAATTACCCAAAGTTCCTCTTCACCCCTACATCTGCTCATGCAACATGTGCATCCCCTGTTCATGAGCAGATTACTACCATATTGAAAACCACAATAATCACATCCCATTGGATTAATTCATAGTACAAACCAAGTCACACAAAGAACTCTGTTGTTCATCTCTGCTGTTTGCATTTACATCCATCAGGCCAGTTATGCCACTTAAGTGAGAGGTTTTAATATACAGCCTGGAGGACCCCATAAAACATTTCTGAAATAAAAGCAGCTATTCATTTTGTTCTGAAGCTCACTATTGACTGGGAATGGATAATCTTTACGTAATGCTCCAAACATGGCACATTTACCCAAAACTCAACACCCCGTGACGACAACGTCACATTCTCCATTGCAACCTTGGATGAAACTGAGGCTCAAGTGCAATTGTTCCATTCATCATCAATCGATCCTCTAGCAATCCCATGATGAGGAGTGGCATGACTCGAGGTCTGCATGTGATAGCTGTGAGAACTCAGGGCGTTAGCTCCTTGTAGTGTGATTCAATGCTTTTGCAGATTCTAAGAATGCATTGTAATCAAGGAAGGAGCCTAAAAAGAGAAAAGTCCCTAAAATTGTCATTTTCTTCATACACCAGTTTGTTGGTGGTATGACGCTGAAACTTGTCCAGATAAAATTCCTTACAAGTAATTTTTTGCCTCCAGGGCACAGTCAAAACAACCAATATACACCATGGCATACGTTTTAGCTAGTATTTGCAGACTGCACACGTCTTTTTGGCCACTTGATACATTTATGCCCAGAATTCACTCTGTTTAGCTCCACTTAGATCACCACCAACTTCTGAGGGTGTGGGGAGTCTCGCACTGACAAAATGGTAAAAACATTTAGTATCCATAGTAAATAACCTCAGTCTTCCACACCTACAGCCAGAGCAACCCACGCTGGCCACAGCACAGGAATCAGTCGGCCGAGGTGAACAAAGTGTACAACAGGATTATTCACAAGACCAAGACGCGGGAACAGAGAGTCATATGATCAGCTCACACTGATGAGGCAGAACAGTGGTGGTGGTGAGATACTAGAGCAAAACGATAAATGTGTGGAATGTCAAGCACAGTCTGGTGCCTCATGTGAATGGAAAGAGGTAATCCGGGAGGGATGAGGAGGGAAAACTGTCCGGCACAATCTTATCATTCGGTGCTCACTTCAACCGAACCCCACTTTGACTCAGAGAGTTCACATTTACATGGTCACAATGCTGAATACTTCAGTATCGGTGGTGTAACAATTGTTGCTTTGCTTGTTTTTTTATATATATAAACTGAAAAGCCCTGGGGGAGTCTGCCTATTATGTCATTACTGGTCGCAGCATGCAGTTAGTCCTCCACTAGGTCTCTCACTCACACACACACACACACACACACACACACA